GCTTTTCATTATGTAATAAGTTTTCTCATACATCTGGAGGGCAAAAAAATACAAGGAAAACAAGGAAAATAAGACCTGGACTCTTCAAGTAGGAAATACTTCTTTGGATAAACTGACACACTATATAAGTAACAGAGTCAAGAATATGACCTTGGAACTTCAAGACCAGATTTAGTCTATTGAACTACAGCTCACAAAATGCCATTACTGCATGTGCTACCGTATGTTGTTTCAGTATCTTAACATATAGAATTGGATTTCTGAATGACTTTCTGAATATTTCCCCTAAATGCAATTTCTTCCTAGGCATACAAAATCCAGATGCTGTGATTTGGCATGTGCAAGGAGGTCTCGGTATGAAGCTTGAGTTCTGAGAGAATTACATTGGCTTCCTGTTCAACACTGAATTGATTTTGAAATTGCTATATGATAACTTACAGCATAAAGCTCTACACAATTTGGAATCTCCATTTTTATCTACCCTATTATCTTTAAGAGTCTAGAGGTTGTTGAGACTATCTGAAGTTGGCCATTTCAAAGCAATGCACATACTTCCAGTTGTTATGCTTGTCAATTTGAAATCCATTTCCAGCTGGAGTCTAGAACACAGATTCAGATTCATTTAAGCATAAACTTTTATGTTTTCAGTCTGACATTTTCATCAACTGAGCTCTTGTGCTTTGTACTTCATAGAGTTGGAAGTACAAAAATAAACAAACAGAAAATTACTTGGCATCAAAACTGTTTTTGTATGTCTCTCTTTGTGCTGTAAATAAATCTAACGTTGCTACTAAATACTTAAGATTGCTTTCTAATAAATACCATGGTTTGCCTGTTTATAGCAAAAAGGCATGTATCGATTGTTCTTTAACTACAGTATTCTGGGATCAGATTTACTATATTAATTACTGTTAAGAATGGAGATAAACATTAAATGCTTTTCTGCCAATAAACAGAGGACTGGCTTAATCTGATCAGAGCAAAGATCCACCTGGCCAAATGCCAGGCTTTTGGAAGAATGTAAGGATGGGGCAAACGTATCTTTGTTACTGTAGTAGTTCCATGTTCTTGCCCAGTTTGTAGCAAGCCAAGGACATCTGAAGCACATGAGTTACCTTCAGCTCTAGCAGTCTTGTGTGGATATTCCTTCCAGGTTTTTTGTGAAGATATTTAGTCATACATACATTTAGCAGTTTACATTTTGTGAAATAAACTTAAAGCTTTATCGCTAATGAAGTGACTTTATTATACATTTATAAAAATAGATGTACTCTGGTATTAGTTGGCTATAATAACAATGATCATCTTCTGTCCAGAAAAATGGGCAGAATGCCTACATATTCAAAATGTGATACTAAAGATACCACTTCAGTAGTTATTTGTACAAACCTTCCAGAAATATCTAGATCTCCGTATTCTCCAATAAACATGACCTTTCAGACAATAACAAGTAACATCCTCAATCTTAGGATGAAAATTTTGAAATTTAGTGAAACGTCCCTGGAAGTGTTTAAAGAAAGGTTGGACATGGCACTTAGGGATGTCGTTTAGTGTGTGATATTGGTGCTGGGGAATGGTTGGACCAGATGATCTTGGTGATCTTTTCAAACCTTAATGATTCAACGATTCCATGATTTTTAACAGCAAGTAATATTGCAGAGAAATTACAATAATTTTCAGTTTTTTTTTTGTTTGTTTGCTTTTTAATTAAACTCACATTAAAAAAGATCTTTTTAGTAGACTTGGCTTTATACAGGATTATCAACAGGAGAAATATTACCTATTTTTCTGGTAATTTTTTCCTTTACAGGAGTTTATTACATCAAGACTCACATAGCTTTTGCTACCATAAGGTGGCAGCATATAACACATATTTATATTGCTGAATTTGTATTCAGTAGAATCATAGAATCATAGAATATCCTGAGTTGGAAGGGACCCTTAAGGATCATCAAGTCCAACTCTTGACACCGCACAGGTCTACCCAAAAGTTCAGACCATGTGACTAAGTGCACAGTAGGTATCTATTTTGTGAGTGCTTTAATTTACATTGTCACAATTAACTCATGTACATTTAGAGAGATCACTAACAAAATTTTTCAAATTATCCCAACAGGAAGAGAGTTTGTGAAAATCTTTATTCACCTGAAACTGTTGCCAAAAGATAAATTTTCTCCGAGTACAAAGTCGATAAAAACTGAAGTGCTATGCTTGATACAAACATCCATGTATATATATATATATGTATGCTGCAAACATAGAGACTAATATTTATGAAGCAACCTTGAAAATAAATTGCTTATAGCTACATTTTAGTAGATGATCATCTATAAATGTGACAGAATACTAATATCTGTGCTTCTTTCATGCCTTCCAAACAATGTCTGTTATTCAAAATTGTCACTGAAGCATTGTAATTTACATAAACATAAGACTGCTTTAATACAGTTGTAGTTTTACATGTTTTCATATCTTATTTTCAATGATCTTTTTTTTATACACATGCAGACGTGCACACACAATCAGATTAAACAGGTTTCTGTTGAGATGGTAATATTAAAGACAGTGTGGCCAGCTTATAAAATGATTGCTAGAGATAGTGATTGGGACCTGGAATAATCCGTTTCTGAGGTACTCCTTGCATTGGGAGAAAAGTGAAGGAATTCAAAATGGGCAAAATGAAAACTACTCTTCACAGTAAGAGTGTTTAAGAATTGGAGTAGTTTACATAGAAGTGCTGTGGAATCACAATCTTTTAACATTCCCCAAGCTTTCTAATTTTTTTCACAAAGTTTTCACCACCATTAGCACTGGAACTCATTTATTTTACAGAAGGGAACATTTCATACAGCCCTCTGTTCTGCATCTCCTGTAAAACAACTTTGAAAATGTCTAGAGGTTCCAGCTCACTCCTGCAGTACATTCAAGAGTGTTCAATCCAAACACATTAAAACACAGCCTTAGACTGTTAGACTGAAGACTCTACCAAAGCAAACAAAACAGACAATAAAAAAATAACCTGTCAATCTCTTGCCTCCGCTACATTCAGTTTGCCAGATGTGTTTGGCTTTTTACATTTGCTGGGAGGATTTTTCACTTCTCAAGCTGTTAGCTTTCCACACATACATATATCCAAACCTTATCTCTGGCTGCAACAAGCAAAGTCTGGGTAGGGAAGAGTCCAGGAAATTCATAAATCAGTTTCTGAGGGAAAACTACATTTGTTGTCAGGCCTGCCTGTTCAAATTAGGGGTCTTCAAAGCAGGCCACTGTGGACACCTGAGTTATTGCACACTGATCTGGGGCTTAAGAGGTAGTCCTGTTAGCCATGTGTTCAACACACACAGCTGCATGCCTTGCTCATGCTCCGTGCTGGGCTGCTTGGTGCTGGTTGACCACTTTGAATCAACAGAGCAACTGGAGAAAACTCTGGAGAATTTCAGCAAAGTGGAACACAAAAACGAAACTCTGGGATTTTTCATGTTGTAACTGCTACTTTGGGGACAAACAATGTGAAAGTTTCAAGTCTCCATCTCAGCTTTGAGGCATATGTCTGCCTAGGGCAAATTTCTACAGGTCGTTTAAAGAACCCTCAAATATTGATGTTTTTATTGTCAGTGCCAGGACAGCTTTTACCATGCGACAACGTTGTGCAGGGGAGAGCCAGAAGACTCAAAATTAAGACACAGTATCTGATAAAAATACACGCTGGAGCTCAAAAGGGAATGAAAGGTCACAGCAATGTAACTTGACAGGACTGCTGGAAATTCTGTTTTTATATCCCCCCTTTCAATAGTTTTAAAGAAAATGTCCAAACAAATTTGTCCCAAACAAAACACATCATAGTACTACCATACTCAGGCCTTAGGAGGCTGCTAAGACAGAGGGAAAATCAGCTTTAATGTACCCTTATGGTCTTACATTCATGCTGATGCTGGAAATAAAGCTAATTGCAGCATTTCTACCTGAATGTGACAAAAAAGAGAAAAGAATTGGGATATACCACCCTTCAGGAGCAGTCCAGACACCAGAAAGGAAACCTGTGGTTCCACTGTGGTACACTGTGGTACAGTGGTCAGAAATTTGCCTTTTTAAACCATGCTATCCTTATTTTTTATTATTATTTTATTTTATTATTATTATTATTTTCCTCCAGTGTGGGTTTTAGTTGTTTTTCTTAAATGAACAAACAAACAGAAAAAAAAAATAAACAAAGTCATTGTTCACATTATGTAACATGGAGATACTTTGCTTTCTGTTGTGGATATTGCTTAATAGGTGTAAGGCTGTACATCTGTTTTTCTATTGAAAATATTCTCTCTTCCCAAAGGGGCAGAGCATGCCCTGATCTGGTTGTGTGTCTCCTGTCTCTGGATGATCAGTCCTTAGCGAAATGCCTCAGTAACTGACCTTATTTTCAGGTGCTGAGCCTCTGGCAGCTTTCTTTAAAGTAAATTAAAGTTGCTAGAGGCTGAGCATTTCAGAAATCAGGGCACTTACGTTTGTTGCCTATCTCTGGATTTAAAAATCTGGCTTGAGGTTCTCTTTTTTACATTTTTTTTTTTTTTTTTTTTTTTAACTTTGCTCTATAATCCAACATCAAGGGAAAAATAATGATAGGAGGCCTGACTACAAGAAAAAAGGGTTCCAGCTTTGGAATACCTTTTTCTATCAGTTAGAGTTTATTAAAGAGACAGCCACAGCTAAAATAATGTCTGTTAATTTAAGTATTGCTTTCTAATCTATCTACTACAGCTACAAATAGCAATTAAGATTATTCAGCTATGAAGATCTCTTCCTTTTCTCCTGCTTGTTAACTTTATGGTTTTGATAAGAGAGCACAAACCTGACATTCACTCAGCCTTGGCCACATTCATCTGAAATATTTTGAGCAATGACAAGCCTTTCACTTTGAATCATTTCACAGCCTGCCAGATCTTAAGTGGTCTAGTAAACTACTTTCTTATTAGGCTGAAAACAAAACAGAAAGCCATACTTACAGCAGTGATACTGTAGCTTGATACAGACCACAGATATTAGTGAAGCGAGGTCATCTCATGAAGCAGGTACTTGCATTAATGCAACGAATATAGCTGGAAAACAAACAAAATAATAATTAGTCTCTTTACTCATACATTGCTCTAATAACATTATGCTTTCTTATGGCTGTTACTCTCCTCTGTTTTGGACTTTTGTTCTTTGTTTGAGTGGTTCATGACAGAATTTTGGCCTTGGCCTGTGGTGGAATCATATACTCAGACCTGAACAGAGGAAGACACGTTTTTTGGGCCTCAGTTAGGGGAGCTGAGACAGTTAGTACAGCCAAAACCAGGCGATTCCCTTGTTTCAAAAGAGGCAAATAAGAAGTCCTAAAGGTTCCAACAACTTTCATTTCTTTGTAAAATATTTCCAGGAGTGTCATACTTCAAATAAATAATTAAAATCGTATAATTTCCACTCTCTCTATTAAAAAGAGAAGAGATATGTGTGATACAAACTGATGAAATAGTACCAAATCTGCAAGCCATCCTAACAAAATAAAACATTATGAGGTTTTTTAATTAGAAATCTAATACATTAATACATAGTAAATATCCAGGCAAGCAGGAGGTAAAACCCATCAATAATCATCATTCTGATGCTTATTTGGACTCCAGTGATATATGGAAAAAGCAAGACTGAAAAAAATAAATATCAGGAAAAGTTATAATCCATCTCTCATACACTTCCGGAGTACATGCAATAATCAACAAAGTATCACAGGTATTTCTGACAGTGGTGAATGACTGTATAATGCTTAAAATTTGTGTGAACCATAAAAAGCAGATGTTCATTGATTTGACTCTTCTCATGGGCAATTTCTGCCTGCAGATCTTCTGCTTAACCTAACTGCATTCTTGGGAAGTCCTTAGAGGGTACCACTGCCTCAGAAGTAACATACTCTTGTTCTCTGCAGTTACGTATTTGTGTTCAGACATTGCTTTATTTACATATTTTGTGAATAAGCCACTGTAAGGCTACAGCACTAACACATCCAATTCTAAGCAGTCAGAAGCATCAGACTCCAGTGGTAGTCAAGTCATTAAAATAGTTTTAAAATATTGTTGTTTCAAGAATTATTTTTTACTCCTGTTATTCATTCGTCATAATAAATCATTAAGGACTATATTTTTAGTTTATTTCTACATCTCCTAAATTAGAAACTTTAAAAAATTAAAACTAGGATTCTGAAGTAGATTGTCAGCAGGAATCAAAAACTAAACAAAACAAAATGTGCAATATTTGACATAATGCACAGAATCAAAAATGGCATAACCTTGTTTAAATAGGCCTGAGCAATGGGGCACAGAGACTAGATAGAGTTCATTATCATGACCACAGATATTAGAAAAATGCAGGGAATTTTAGAGGCATAGAGATATCAAACAGTTAGGAGGGCTTTCTCAGGAATAATTTCAGTACATGGAGATTATAAATGTGAAACTAATTTCTACTCCATTTGTCAGAAACAACTGAAACAATTTCAACAAATTGGAGAAAATTACATAACAGCTAGAGAAAGCTAACTGGCCCAAATAACAATCAGATGCTTGTCTTAATCTTCATGCTAAAACAGAGCAATCTGGGTGTCATGCAGTTCACTATATTTAGGCACCTACATGTAGCTGTCTACGCTCCTATTAATAGTTAATGGATATATGTCAGTACAGTCAGCAGAGCCTAGAGACTAGACTGGCAACTAACATTTTCATTTTATGAGATGAACTTTTCTCCAGACATCACTAACTGTGTCAGCTAGATCTCACTGACAAAAGTAAATTTTTGGTTCATTTGTGAAAATGAACCTTCATGAAAATGTTTATCAGGTAAGGATAGATAAGGCTTGCTTAATGTTGTAGCTCTCTAATCTCTGAGACCACATAGCTCTTCTAGTGACCAGGGCTGGTCTCTGAAATTCTAGCTTTCATATTTATATGACAGCAAAAGCAAATCCCATCACACTTTTATACCTTTAGGTTTATTTATTCAATTTTCTGTAGGTCAGAATGCAGCCAAACAGACAGCCTAGGCAAGCAGGACAGTTTTTCCCTCTTTGCGGAGATGCTCAGCTCAGGTCCAACCTTGCTCTTCCTCTAGCAAAGGAACTACACATTTCCCAGACAGTTCTGCCATTTTTCCTATAGCGGCAGAACTGGATTCCCATTCAAGGAGCCATGTACCCTTCTCACTGACCTCCCTATTCTACCACTTCAAGGGTCTCTTCTGTTACAGAAATGAAGTCTGTGGAGTTAGGGAAGAAAGCAGATGAAGAGGATCACTTGCCTCAGAGCACCATGTTCATGGTGCAGCCAATGTAAGGCTGCAAGGGCATGGGGACCTTTCTTCTTCCCCAGCTATCACCAGTGCTGCCACTCCTCTCCACCCACATTATGGTAGAAGAAATATCCTATAGGTTTTGCTTATCTGAGTGATGGAGTAAAAGGTGTCAAGTTAAACAGAAACATCTTGTGAGCACAGTCCAGCTTATGGATTGTCAAGTAACTTGTGATAAACAGTACATGATAAGATAACACAGGCTAAATTCACTAAAAAGTATGTTTTACTCAGTGAATAATGCAAACAACTTTCTATCACAGCTGGTTGTCTATTGCCATATTCTAGAAGAAATCAGTTACACCTACCTGAAAGCAAATAGGGAACAGTAGCAATTTACATCCATTCAATTTATACCTGTTTTGCACTCTACTGTGAGGATCTATAATATATAGGAGTAGACACATCATATATGTGTATATTTATCATAAATGTTAAAATAAAAATCATAATGACACAAAAATTTTGAGGCCCCATACAAAACTCGGATCTATCTTTTGCACTCTGGCATCTGGACTAAGCAATGTAAGATGCATAAGAAACATTTTAGAGGCTGCAAAGAATTCTTGTATAAGCTATGATCCTTGTGCACACTAGCAAAGATAGAAGAGACACAGTAGTTTGGGCTTATAGATTCTTTGCTAAGTAGCATGCTAATTAATTAATCTTGAAAATATTCCTGAACGAGCTGGCTGGCAAGAAAAGAGGGGACATGGAATTGTGCTGGCCTCACCATTTAAGATTGATTCTTTCTGAGAAATTGACTACCTTGCATTTATGCAGGTTGGTCTTTTTGGTATTCACAATGAAAATAAATCAACTGGAGATACTGCAAATATTCACTGGGCTTTGCGTTTGCCAACCAATACAATACAATTTACAAGTAGATGGACTGAAACTTCAGGTAATGTTTTAATGTTAGCCAAACATTTCCCTGTATTGGAAACATGAAGTAGGTGCCCTAACTGAAGATAAAAGGGATTCTTTCTTACTATGAAAATCTACAGTTTCCTTCTAGAAAAATTAACCAATGAAACAATATCCCAAGCTCCCAAAAGTCATGGTGATTTTTCCACTAGAAATGCTATTTGAAAGGTACTGTCTTATTGTTAAAGAACCATTATTCAATTCAAGCAGGCATTTTTCCTCTTTTTTTTTTTTTTTCTTTTTTCCCCACTGTGTGGCCCTATTTTTGGTCTCGGTAGTTTGACTGAAACTTAAATGCATTTTGATAACTAACAAAAAATCTTTAGAAGATTATGGATTTGGGACATGTTGCTGACATACATCAATCTACTTTGTCTTCACCTTTGTATGTGAAAATTCAGTTGATTTTCCTGGGAATTTACCTGACAGATTTATAAATTAATCACAATTCTTTCAATTGTCTTTCATTCACATAGTAGTATGGAATAATATAGATCTACATTTGACAAAAGAATTAAGAAAACTGAAGATCTGCCCATCTCAGTTTTTACAAATTGGCTAATTTGTTTGAGTTAAGCATTATTTGAAATGGCAGCACAGGGAATCCATATTGCTTGTAGTTAAGTGGTTAGTTTTTAAGCCTTAACTACATAGACAAGGGAGTCTGTCTAACCATAAATCTTAAGAAAATTTCAGTGTCCCACTTCATTTGGACAATTTATTCAATTTCTATATTCTAGTGAGCTATGTCACTGTATTTCAATGTTCTTTATACTTTATACTTCTTTATACTTTAGGTAAAATGAAATCAAGGAACCAACAAAAAAATCCCCCAATAACAAAACAACAACAAAGTGTTAATATTCCTATTAAGTAAACATGTTTCAAGAAAAAAAAAAAAAAAAAAAAGCTAAGAAAACATTCATAGTGGTTATTAACAGATCATATTGAATCTAAAGGCATCTTTTTTTTTTTTAAATATATATATATATTTATTTTTCTCATCCTGTGTTGTGATGACCTCATTTTTCATGGAAGAAAAATACAAAATACAAATCAATTAGATTATAGTTCCTTTGATGTCTCCTCCCAGTGGAGAAGCAAAAGCTGTCAGGCAAATATTTTAGGAATTGGCATGATCTAATGATAGAGGAAATCATCCACTAAAAAATACACAGAAGGAAAAAATTTTTGTGGGATAGAAAGAGGATCAGAAAACAATGATGGAAAATTAACTGAAACAACAGTGCAAATTGTAACAGTAATTGCAAGCTGAAATAGTATTTTAGAACAAACATTCTAGTCAGATTTAATAGTAGTTTACTCCAGTTTTGCTGTTCAACAAATCTCTTGCTGGCTGACTGGATTCTACCTGTCTCCTCTACTTATGGCTACAGGCCCTATGGCAATTCTAGCAGCAAAATAAGTGCACAAAATAGAAGATATACCTCATACTATATGAATCAGCCAAATCACAGTTAAGTTTTCATTGTCAATCACAGTTATATTAATAAAAGACAGGTAGCAATGAATCCTGCATGGTACACAAGCATGGGCACTATGATTAAAACAAATGCTAGGAATAGCAGCTCTCTTTTTAATAGATTTATATAGGTTCTAGAAAAAAAAAAAAATTATATGTGTCTCTTAATATTGATGGGATTCTCATCTTTGTTTTCAAATTACTTTTCTCCTGAGAGGAATGTCCTAATGATTAGACTGGAGATGGCTGGAAACTGAGAAACTTGGATGGTTGCTTTCCCCCATTTACTTATTTATTTATTATTATTAT